ATCTGAATTATGACACACCCAGAGGGGTGGGGGGAAACAGGGTCATAGATGATTGTAAATTATATGTCTCAGAATCGGCTGCATACAGGTCATGCCAGTATGTTGCTCCTAATAAATCTTTTGAAGTTTTTTGAAGTTTGGCTCAAGGCTCATGATTTAATTAGGGCAATTGCTAGAATCCCGACACATGGATTATCATCAAACTGCTTTTGAGGGACTAGGAGGCATAAATTATGGTGATGTACAGTATATCTAAATATGCTTAAACACAGTTCTATGTTTAGCCATTTGTATGTGTACATGAGTGAATGGATCACCCTAAGTCAGAAATGGGCCATCAATGTCCCAACTTGTCTTGAATTCCAGTTTCCATCAGTTCAAGGTAACATGCCCAATGACCAGAAAATTGGAGTCCAAAATCTGGAAACTCATTGGTCTCCCCCACATCTGATCCTTCCAACAAAAATCCATCACATTTAATGTGTTTTATGATATAATTTCTATCAACAGACCATATAACTGTTCAGCATCTTTGCAATAACTGTACACAGTGGCCCTCCGTGTGTGGCTGTGCTATTTCTAGCATGCCTCACTCTTAAGGATCATGAAAATTAGAGTTCAGCAACTTCTTGATGGAATTTAGAGTGTTAACCTCCAAAATGTATCAAAAATCTGGCAGTAAGCAGTTTGCAAAGCAGAATAGCGTTTATATAGGATGATTGGTGAGTCAATTTTACTGCCAGTAAAAATCCATCTGAATCAATATGAGTTTCATTCAAGCTTCAGAAACTGTGCAGAAAAGAAAATTTATCAAGATGCAAACAATAAATTTCATTCCAGCAGAAGAATGGAAATCAACCACCATTATCATTCTAAGACAATGAAATCCTAATGAGATTCTCCAGGGACTTCTGATTTTCAGGTCGCCAAGGATGCCATGAATGCTCCTTCAAATCTCAAATCCTCTATCGGTGTAGAGCAGGGATGTCAAACTTGATTTCATTGTTGTGTTTGACCTTGGAGGGCTGGGAGAGGGCATGTGGGGCGTGGCCATGGTGGGTGTGACATTGGACTCGTGTCAGGGACACCTATAGTGGCCAAGTGCTAAGGCAGGACTTCCCCGAGACTCTCCCTCACTCTCACTATAACCCTTTTTTTCCTTCCCTTCTCTTTCCTTCCTTCTCCTTTCTTTTTCCTTCCCCTCTTTCCTTGTTTTTCCTTCCTTGCTCTCTTCCCATCTTTCCTTCTTGTTCTTATTCTTTCCTCTTTCCCTTTCTCCTTTCCTGTCCCTTCTTGCATGCTCAAATGCAAATGAGAAAACACTTCTCCTTTTGTTTTGTTTTTACCTTCTTTTGATAGCCCTCTGCCAGAGAAAATGGAGCCCAGGGGCTTGCATGCACCCTCCCCCACAAAATCCATTTTCACTGGCAGGGAGCTGCAGGAGGCTGTCATGGCTGGAAACAGGGCATGGTGGGCTCGCTTGTGGCCCCCCGAGCTCCATTTTCGTCAGCAGGGGCACCGCGGGCCAGTCCTTTGCTGTTTCCAGGCTGGGCCCAGAGGCCAGATCTAAGCACCCTGTGGGCTGGATCTGGCTCATGGGCCTTGAGTTTGACACCCCTGGTGTAGAGGAATTATAGGGCTGACGGTGGTGTGTTTTTGGTATCTCGTTTATATTACCATCAATGGATTTGGAATGCATTCAATGGAAAAACTAACGTCACTGCAAAAGAATGCAATGCAGATTTGACTTCAGAGGATAATTAGGACTGCAGAAAAAACAATTACTACCAACCTGCCTTCCATCGAGGACTTGTATACTGCACGAGTCAAAAAGAGGGCTGTGAAAATATTTACAGACCCCTCACATCCCGGACATAAATTGCTTCAACCCCATCCCTCAAAACGATGCTATAGAGCCCTGCACACCAGAACAACTAGACACAAGAACAGTTTATTCCTGAAAGCCATCACTCTGCTAAACAAATAATTCCCTCAACACTGCTCAACTATTTACAAAGTGTGCACTACTATTACTGTTAATCTTCTCATCACTCCTTATCATACATCCCCTTCCCACTTGTGATTGTAGGACTGTAACTTTGTCGCTTGTATCCTTACAATTTATATTGGCTGTTTGATTTGATTGTTGATTGTACCCCATGACTATCTTTAAGTGCTGTACGTTATGATTCTTGATTCTTAATGAATGTATCTTTTCTTTATGTGTATTGATAGTATTTACACCAAGACAAATTCTTTGTGTGTCCAATCGCAGTTGGCCAATGAAGAATTCTATTATTCTATTCTATTCTATTCTATTCTATTCTATTCTATTCTATTCTA